ATTTAGAGGTGGAAAAGACCGAGGTCCCGCCACCCTGCTGGCTTGTGGGACCTGACTCAGGTTATGGCGCTGACTGGGTCCGTCTGCTGCGGGATGCCCAGGAGCCCTTGAGCAAAGGGCTGGAAGAGAGGCTCAGCGAGGGGCTTTAGGGGTGCTTCTTAGAGAGACGGGTGGTGGCTGGACAGAGTCCAGGGCAGTAGCACCCTGGCCCCTGAAGGCCCCAGGAGCCTGGTGTGAGGCAGGAGGAGCCCAGCCTGGGGCCACTGGGCTTTCTAAGAGCCTGGCTCTCCCCACTCCACCCACCCTGGGTGACAGCCTGACCTTTGCCCCAGGGCACCCAGGGTTCCTGATCTTGATCCCATCCTTGGTCAGGGTCTGAGAGGAGTGGAGCCTCAGTTGCTCAGGGGTTCCCACCCTTGGGCATGCCTCAGGCCTGATGGGAGAAACATGGTGCTGTCCTTGGAGTCACATAACACCAGGGGACCTCTTCCCTGCACTCCTTTTCTGCCTGATGGAATGGCACCCCAGTACCCAGAATGTCCCTCCTCTCCTGGCTGTGGATAGGGGAATTTTGGGGAGCCCTCCTTTCCAGGAAGGCTGTGGGAGAGAGGGTGCCCCTGCTTTAAGTGGGGTGAGAGGAAAGTGGGTTGAGCCAGGGTGTGCGGCTGCTGCCTTAGCAACCATGTGGAGGGCCGGCTGGCAGCCAAGGAAAAGGATGCCGTTCATGGGGGCACCCACCAGCCGCCCAGCTGGTGCTCTTCCCACCCTGGCCAGACTGGGTGTGGTCCAGGCCGTCCCGCCTTCTCTGGGAGACTGGGTGCATCCTCTCTCTGCTGCCTGGTGTGCCTGGGTACCGCTGGCTGTAGGAACATGACCTGCTGAGGTGGAAGGGCCTGGAAGGGGTCCCCAAAGCCATGGGGGAGCCAATGGGGAGCCCCGCCCTATCTGTGCCCTTGGCCAGGCAGTGTGGGTGTGGCCCTAGGTGTCCTGTCCCCATCCTAGGGTCAGGTGAAGAGCAGGGTCTCCTTTGGGCCTGGCTGTGGCAGAGGTGGCCCCTTGGACAGCTCCTCGTTGGGGTGCTCAGGCCCTGAGCCACCTGCCTCCAGAGTCCCCCACAAAGGGCAGCAGTGGGTTAGGCCTGCAGTCAGATACTGGGCTGGACGGGGGCAGGAGCCAGGGTTGTGCTGGGCATGATTCACAGGGACATCTGGGGCAGTTGGCAGCACGCTGGGTGAGACGGGCAGGAGCAGGTGGGGCTGCGCCCTGGGCCCCTTCTGCATCTTCCCTGGGAACACAGGGTTCTGGAAGGGCCTGGAGGGGCCCAGGTTGCTCAGAGGCACAGGAGGGTTCTGGATTTGAGGGTTATGATTTTGGGGCTGAATTTCTTTGCCAGTTACTACCAGCGTAACCTCGTGCGAGTTACTTAACCTGTCTGAGCCTGTGTTTTGCTCCCTGGAAAGAGGATACCGAGGGACACACTACCTGGGCTCCGGGAGTGGATGGGAATTGCGAGGGGTGCTCAGATCCTGTGGAGCGAGCGTCAGCAGGAAGAGGAGCTGAACTGGTCTTCTCCATGTGGGGTTCCTGCCTCACCCCTTCCCATCCCTCATGGTGGCCCTGTGTCCCCAGGAGCCTTTACATCAGCAGCCACTATCAGGTCAGCCCCAGGGAGGCCTAGGCGCAATGCTGCCTGGTGGCCGGAAACCCTGGGGAGCAGGGCCACCTTTCCAGGGTGGGGTGCGGTGGCTAACGGCAGCCGTGTGCACATGTGGGGGTGGGGAACCTCCACTTCCCCCTGACACAGGGTGTGCTGGGGGTGGGGTTCCCCAGTGAGTAAGAGCTTGGTGTGGGTAACAACAGGAAGTACAGGGTGCTGGTGGCAGGAAGTGGCACCGGCTGGTCCTGGTTCCTCAGATGTGGGCCCTGGGGCTAGGCTATCTGCAGGAGACCCCTGGGGGGCCAGGACCTCTGCTTCCCACTGTCCTGCTACCTTTTCTTCTCAGGAAGCTGGGCAGGTGACTTAGCCTCTGCATGTCTCAGTTTCCCCCTTGTGAAGTGAGGTTATAATGCCATCCGCTTGGCATGCTTGTCATGAGGGTTACAGAAGTTAATGGACGTGAAGCACTTGTGTGGGCCGAGCCCAGAGGCGGGCTCGGGAGTATTGATTATTGTCCTTCCTGCTCTCTTGCCAGCCTGCACTTTGTGGTCTGGGCCTGGTGTTTTGGCTCCCGCCCTCTTTGCTCCTCCAGTCCCTGCTATGCGGTCTCACACCTACCTCGGGCAGAGACACCCTACAGCCTCATCCTGGGGCTGCTCCTAGAGCTCAGGCGAGGTGCAGGGGAAGAGACTGATGTTGCTGGAGATTTCCTGGAGGGCGTGAGAGCCAGGGCTTGAACCTCACCGAGGAGGGCGATGGCTGGTGACCCATGGGGCCTCCTGTACCTGGTTTGGGGTCCACATTGAGGGCCAGCCTGGGGCTGGAAGGACTGGAGCCTGGGAGAAGGTGGGCTGCGGGTTTGGGCTGCATCTTCTGCTGAGATCAAAAGTGAAACTGCAGGGTGTGGTCCTGTCCAGATGTGGCCTCGGGAGTCACCTGGGGTGGCGTCCAGGGCAGGGGCTGGGGTGAGATCAGAGGCCAGGTCCCTCTGCATCTGGAAGGTGAGGCATGGAGCGAGGACCATGGTCCTGCTCATTCTGGTGAAAGATCCAGGGGTCAGCTCCATTTCTCGGCCTTAACCCGAAAGGGACACTCGTGGGACACAGCCCAGGGCCTGAGGGTTGTTGCTGTTGGCCAAGAACTGGACACAGGCCTGTTGACCTGGACATCTTCACTCGTACTCACATCCTGCCTCGCGTCCTCTGTGGCTCCTCACCCGGGCCCCTCATCTGAGCTGCGTCTTCCTAGTGCTGGTCGCAGGGTATTACCCTGCCAAGCCACAGTACCCTGGTATCCCTGGGCCCTTGGAGGCTGAGGCGGGCTCAGCGTCTGTTTCACAGGCTCTGAGAAGCTCTGTCCGGTGAACTCAGGGCCTTTTCGCCCTGCTCCAGCTCTTGCCATCACAGCTGCCCCCAGGATGGGGCCCCTGGACCGCCTGTCCCTTCTTGTCCCATGGTGCCATGTCCATGCTGAGGGCCCTGGCTTGGGCTCTGCTCCTGTTTCCTGGGGGTGCTGCCTCACCCCTGTGACGGTGGCACCTGCTGCCTCCTCTCCTCCCTGGAGTGCCCATCACCTCGGTGGGCGCAGCCATAGTCGGGGAGCATCTGCTAATTAGTACTCAGCACCGTCAGAGCTATTTCTGATTTCTAGGTCTAAATTTAGCACGTCTGGCAGGCTGGCATGTGGGCCTGGGCTGAGGAGGCCCAGGTGTGCCCAGGGCAGGGTGCGCCTGGCCCTCAATGCTGCTGGGCAGGTGTGCAGGCCTCAGAGGTCTTGGGTAATCACCAGCGAGACCTGTGCCTGCTCTGTGGGGTGGGCACGATGGATGACGGTGTCAGTGACAGCTGTGACCCTGTGTGTGGCACATTGTATGCCCAGGGAAGCTGGTTGCCTTGACTGTTGGGGTTGTAAACACGACCAGAAGTGCCACTGGGTTATCCCAGAGCCGGCGGGTCTCGGGTGGGTGAGGCTGGAAGGACCCCCTTCCCTGGAAGTAGCCACCCGGAGGCTCAGGCCTGGCTCAGCCGACCCCCTGCTCCGTCCTCCATTCTGGCCATGGCTTTGTGTCCTGTCCTTGCCTGTGGCCACACTTCCTCCTTGGCCCTGGCCTCTCCGCACCTCTGTGGGTGGGGGTGGTGCGGAGGGGACAGAGGTGGGGCCTCCAGGCCTCCACGTACAGAGTGCAGAGCCCCCCGTGTACCTGTGGGATGGCGATGAGACCTCAGGTTTTCCCACCCAGCTTGCTCTAGCAATGGGGGACGGGGATGACGCAGCCCGCCCCAGCTGGCTGGAGTCTGGGGTGGGCAGCTTCACCTCTGGAGTGGCCTGGCCAGAAGCTTAGGCCAGGGGGGCCGGACACCAGCTTCCTGTTTTCTGAGCTGGCTCCAGCAGTGATTTGGGGGTGAGGTCTGGTCAGAGCCCGACATCTAGGCCCAGCACCCACCAGAGAGGAAGCTGGGTGGCTGAGTCGTGGATGGGTGTGGTCGCTCCGTGGCCACCGGAGCTGGGAACAGCAGCCTCCCCGACTCCGGGCTGGGGATCTGGTGGCTCCCACATCCCTGGTGGAGACTGGGGCTAAATGGGAGCCTCTGAGGGACAGAACTATGTGTGGGGCCTCAGTAAACCTGGGCTGGCTGAGCTGGGGTGAACTGGCCTTGAATTCTCTGTCTGTTGGGAGACTTTCTGAATCTGGGATTCTGGGGGTCTTGAATTACTGGTGGCACTTGGTTGATTCCACAGTGCTGGACTTGCTTGGCACCTGCCCTGTGGTGACAGGGATGCTGTGGCCCCAGGCAGAGCTCCAGCGCTTTCCCAGCTTGGGCCGAGCAGCACAGACCCAGGGTGGACACCTCTGGGGCGGCACCACCCCTGCCTGGAGCTTGCAGCCCCCACCTGCCTCCCCTCATTTCTTGGAGAGACAGGAAAGAGGGTCTGGGAGGATAGAGGAGGCTTTGTCACCTCCCGGGAGGTTTTCAGGTGTTTGCCATGTGCACCCGGTGTCTGATGGCTCCTGGGAACAGCCCTGCTGTCGCCACACTAGGGCTAGCTGGTGGTGGTCAACTTCCTCCTGGACCGGGGCACAGCTGATGCCCCCATATTGAAGATAGGGAGCATGGGGCCCGAGGAGCCTGAGGTCCCCAGGGAACGAGAGCATCTGCCGCACACCGGATGTGGGATGACACAGCGTGGCTGGACTTGGATTCACACCCTGGGTCCCCTGTCACTGTCAGACCCCGGAGGTGCCCTGTTCTGAGCCTTGGTTTCTCCTATGATACTTGGGAGTGTAGCGGGGCCCCGAGATGCCCACACCTCCCCAGGCTCAGGGACCCACTTTGGCCCCCAGAACTGCATGAACCTGCCGCCAGACAAGGTGCAGCTGCTGAGCCAATATGACGATGAGAAGAAGTGGGAGCTCATCTGTGACCAGGTATGAGCCGCCCTCAGCCACTGCCTCCCACGGACCCTGGCAGGGGAAGGGGCACCTCCGTGCCACCCGAGGCCTCACCTGGCCATGGTTGCCCCAGACCTGGGTGTCGGGAGCAGGGTGGGTCTGTCCTGGGGGCCCACAGGGCGGGGCCGAGTCACTATCCTGCACTGTGCCCGGGGCAGCCTCTCCTGACGCGGTCTGGGCTGAGTGGGGCTGGTGAGGCGGCATGGCCTCTGAAGGAGGAGCGCAGGAGCCCTGTCCTTTCCTGGCGGGCTCGGGGAGGTGCAATCTGGCAGCAGCCCCAGGCCAGCCAGAGGGGACCCTGCCCCGGAAGCCTGTCCAGGCCCTGGGTGCACCCGGCTGCCCTGTGGCCCCTGTGGGGAAGACGCTGCCCCTGGTGGGCAGGGTGAGGCTGGCATGAGTGGGCTCCAGGGTGGGGAGGCCGGGAGCAGGGTCTCCCCCTGGGCCTGGTGGACCTCGGGCTAATGGAAAGGATGGGAGGAGCTCGTGGGCAAGGCCGGACTGGGCAGAGGTTCAGCGCTGGCCAGCAGAGGGGATAGCTGGGCACATGGGAGGGGCCTCCGTCTGAGCTGGGGCACACAGCTGTCCACCCTGTGGACTGGGTGCAACACTGCTAAGGGGTGCTTGGTCTGCGGGAAGCTGGGTCCGGGCAGTCCCACTTGCTGTGGTCCAGGTCCGGGAGAGAGCGCCACCTGCTGGCTGGACTGAGCCCTTCCCCCAGGACAGACGAGAAGGGACCAACCCTCTTATTCCACCCCAGGCAGGTTAGGGCCTCAGCTTCCAACGGTACAGGGTAGAGGCCAGGACCGGCTGGGAACTTCTCCACTAGCTGTGGAGCATTAGGGCTGGGCCAAGGCAGCTTAGCCTGGCCTGAGGTGGGTTGCAGCAGAAGGGCCCTCAGTGGGGGCTGGTCTTTCCCCGCTAAGGCAGCTCTGCCTGGCCCCCTGCCCACCTGTTCACCTCCGCAGGAGCGGTTTCAAGTCAAGAACCCCCCTGAAGCCTATATCCAGAAGCTGAAGAGCTACCTCGATGTTGGGGGGGTCGGCCGCAAGGTTGCAGCTGACTGGATGTCCAACCTGGGGGTATTTCTGTCCTATCACTGTGGGCATCTCCCTGCCCCTCAAGTCGCTGTGCATAAGCCCGTGTGGGTGCCTGAGAGTATGTGAGAGTGCATGTAGGGCCTGCAGGAGCCCTGGGTTTGCTGACACAGTGCTGCCAGGTGCCCTTGTGTGCACACCCATGTATATAAATATTTGTGTGTGCTATGTGTACACGGCTGTGCGTGGGTGTGTCCCATGGGCTGTGGGCTGTGTGTTGGAGCACGTGCACATGCGTCCCACGTGTCTGCATGGGGGTGTGAGTGCCCTCCCTGTGTGTGTAGATGCCATGCCGGCGCACACAGCACTGTGTCATCCCGTGGGGCAGGTGTGTGGCGGTGTGGGGGAGCCAGGTGTGAAAGGTCACATGTTTGGGGATAGTGGCGGATGCTGGCTGTGGCCCCAGGATTTGGGGGCATCTATGGAGGCTCTGCCCACTGGGCTTTCTGTTCCACCCCTAGTTTAAGAGGCGCAGCCAGGAATCCACACAGGTGCTGCGGGAGCTGGAGACCTCCCTGAGGACCAACCACATCGGGTGAGCTAGGCCCGATGTCCCCAGGCTATGGTCTGCAGCATCCCCTCCTTTGCCTGAGCCGTGCTCTGGCCTGTGTCTTGTGGGCTGGGCTGGGCCCCTGAGCCTGGACGGCCCCCAGCACCACGGGGTCCTTGAGGTGGGTGTGCCGGTGGCTTCCCTGGACTCTGGTGTACCGTTCTGCAGGTGGGTGCAGGAGTTCCTCAACGAGGAGAACCGCGGGCTGGATGTGCTCCTTGAGTACTTGGCCTTTGCTCAGTGCTCTGTTACGTAAGCCCCCTCACCCCAGCCCTCGCACTTCCCCTGAGCCAGACCCTGGCATCCCTGCCCCTGCTGGGTGCCCGGCCTGGTGGTGCTCAGGCCTGGCGGCGTCCCTTCCTGCAGGCTGGCCCTGTTGGGAGGGATGGAGCTAGAACACAGTTCCATTTCTGGGGGTCCCTCCCCGCTGTGCTGGCCTTTAAGCTCCCTGTGTCCTGTCTCCAGGTACGACATGGAGAGTGCGGATGGTGGGGAGAAGAACCCCGAGAAGAGCAAGCCCCTGGAGCAGTCAGTGGAGGACCTCAGCAAGGGGCTGACCCCCAGGAGCCGCCACCTGACCGTCAAGTATGTGGGCCTGAGGTGCGGTGGTGGGGAGGTGGAGCGGGTGCTCCTGGTGGGTGAGAGGGGAAGTCAGGTCTTGCACGGGGTCAGGAGCCTTCAGGGCTGGATCTAGGGGTGCCTGGGGCATGGGGCCCTCTTGTACCAGTCTAACCCCCTCTTTTCTCCATGTGGCCTCCAGATGCCCCCCTTCTCCCCGGTACGTAGCCACCTGGGGGCAGGTGCATGCTTGGCAGGCTGGGGGTGGGTGTTGCATGAGGCATTTGGCTGAACTCCGGTTCTGATGATCCCAGGTTCTGCTGCCATGGACAGGTCCGGGAGTAAGGTGGTGGCCTTTGAGCTCCATGTGGCCCCCAACTCCCAGCCCTGGCTCTAGGGAACGAACTGCCATGTTAAGCCCCAGACTCTTACAATTTGTTTTTTTGCTCATCCATGGAACAAATATATTTTAGGATTTACCACATACTAGGTATGTGGCAGGTGCCCAAAAGACTGCCCTCCCTTGGGGGCCACAGTCCCGTGAGGGGACGATTCAGTGTGGCAGGCTGGTGGCTCTGAGAAGGGAGCTGGCTGCAGCCTAGGGCATCAAGAAGACGCAGGAGGGATGACACTGGACGGGCAAGCGAGGAAGGGTACTACCCCAGGAGGGGCTGCGTGAGCAAGGGCATCCCGAAAGTGTCAGAGCCACGCTGGAAAGGGCCACGTGGCAGGCGAGGAGCACCTGGTGGGTGAGGCGGGCCTCCCAGTTTGTAAGAAATGTGGTAGAATTGTCAAGGGGACCGATGTGTGGAAGTCATAGCTGCCTGTTCTGCAAAAGTAAAAATAGCAAACCTTTTTTTGGCCAAGAATAATTGAGCACGCTTATTCAGTACTTCCGGGGTGCCAGGCACCGCTCTGCCTTCATTTCCTGGTCTTAGTGACCCTACCAGGACGCAACTCTCCATTCTTGTTGGAGAAATGCACAAGGTGCGGCCCAGGGAGCTTAGGAAGCAGGGAACAGGAACCTTCCACGACCTGGCAGTCTCTGGCTGTGACTGGCTCCCCCTCCTTCCTGATGCCCAGGGCCCAAGGGTCCCGCTCCTTGGCCCCCCCCCCCCCCCCCCCCCCCCCCACGCC